GCCTAACATCAGTGCGTACAGCACCGAACCGCTAACCAGATGCTCAGTGGCACTGGCCTGAAGATTTGCGTCGGCAAATCCGTTCTTCGGCTTTCCACAACTCAGCCACTCCTGCCAGAGCTTCAGGTCCCTTGGCCGTCAAGAACCCAAATGCTGACTCACGGCCGAGCATTTCAGCATAGGCTCTCTGAATGCGGAGTCCTGTAAGCACGGCTGGGCTCGTGTCGATCCCCTCGCTGGCCATGAATAAGCCTTCTTTGCTGAGGCGTTCATACACCTTCGCCATGCTGACTCCACACGGTAGCCGGTAGAGCGAGCTTGCAAGCCTGGCCAAGGCTTGGCCAATGCTCACCCCCCAAACATTGGTGTAGAAGAAGTCGAGAATATGCTCGATGTCCTTCGCAGTGAGGACAGTCTGATCTTTGCCCTGAGAGATGAGTTCCTGGACCGTTGCCGCCACAGGGAGCAGACACAGGAGGATGTAAGGAACATTGCGCGTATTTGTATCCTGGGATGCGCACTGACCTGTTGCTGTACCCTCCCTCAAGGCTGTCTCTCTCTCTCTCTCTCTCTCTCTTCCCATTCGGCAAATCTCTCCAGCCTTGCGGTTTCAGCCTGAGTCAAACCAAGTAGATTGCCTGACTCCGTCTGTCGCTCTCGCAGCTCGCGCATTGCTTGATAATACGCGTCATGCGTCGTCCGGATGCGTTCACGAATGGCGGCTGTGTCGGTCAGAGCCTCGTCTTGAAGTTCCCGGACCAGAGCTTCGTCGTTGTTAGAGCGTGCGTCACGAATCAGCTTCTGGCGCCTTGACGCGTTGTGTTCGCGCTCCTTGACTTCTTGCTGCTCCAACAAGTGGTCAATAACCTTGAGGATCACATCCGCGTGATCTCCTGAGTCTTGGAGAATGCCAAGTGTGCAGACCTGGATCTTTTCTTCCTTGTACGATTTTGCCTGCTCTTTGAAGAGTGCACAGACCTTGTCACTGAACAGGTACCATCTGTCCCATACGTCAGACCCTTCCTGAGCTTTCCGAACCAGGATTGCCAATTGCCACAGCTCGTCAAAGATCTCTACCGCCAATGAAAGGGCGAAGAGAAAGAACTCTTTGACCCATGGGGGTTGAGAGGCCCTGTGCTTGGGCAAGGTCTTGATGGCGAAGATGGCATCTGACCGCTTTTCTGACCCCTTTGGTGTCCTTCCCTGGACAACCCGCCCTGGAGGTGGCTTCGGGCGTGGATTGGCGAATTCAGCCTCCGTGTCCACTGCATAGGCCCGCCCAACACCGGGGGGGAGGTGCAGATGCAAAGTGAACTTCTGCTCCTGGAGGGAAGAGAGGGGCTTTTGGCCCGAACGACTTTGGCTCTGACGACGGGGTTGATGACTTGGACATCATGAAAGTCTTTGACCACTAGCAGACCAAAGAGAAAGTTCCGAACCGGATGAGGGCTTGTTCAGATGATGCTAAAGGCTCGTCGTCAATCTTCGATGGGAACTTGAGCCAAAATGGCTACGGAATCACTGATTATTCAAAAGGATCCTCCCACTGACCCTATTTTGGACAACCCCTATTTCAGGGGCTATATTCAAAGAAATGCGCCCGAGTTTTGTAAAATATGGGGAGGGGAGGGGGGGCTTATTCTATTTGGTGAGAAACCAATGCATGATAGGACCAGGCCTTCATCATCATCACCGTCGCTCACCAAGTCCAGGACTGCAGCGGGGACTTCAGTCTTCTGTGACTTAGTCTCCACCGCTTCGGGTTCCTCAGCAGTCAAGGCCTTCTTTGACTTCTTCCTCGTGGATGGTCAGCTCTGGAAGCATGTGCACACACTGTTGCGAACCCTCACTCCACTGCTTGGGGTTGTGGGCTTCAAACTCAGAATCCAGGACATATCCTTGAGCCTCGTACACACTTTTTGGTAGGCCTCCGACTGACATCTTGCGCGGACGAATATGCTCTTCGACCAGAGTCTTGCTGAGTGTGTCTCTGATCTTCGAGTAGGCGAATTGGCCCCTCTGGCTCTGCAGCTTCTCCTCAGCGCACTTCTGAAAGAAGACCATTTGACTCTCAGCGTCCATTCTCTGGAACTCTGGTGTTGGCCATTGCACGTTGCGAAGCTCCCTTGGGCCTCTGATCATGCACTCACTGATCTCCACATTCAACCCGCACTTGCGACACGCGCAAATCGTGGGCGCAAGCTCCTCAGACTCGTCGAAGATGAAGGCACCTTGGCGCTCAATCTGCTTAGCTTCATCCCCTTCCGCCAAACCACTTGCGCTTCGTCTCTGGGTTGGGCATCAGTCCCATCATGCTTCTTCTTCGCCAGGTCGCCATCATCCTTCTTGTTCTCCAGGCCATGCTCAGCCATGACTTGGGAGTCAGTGTAGGCCTGCGTCTCTAGCACCTGTGTGTCCGGAATCTCGTGCGAGCACGGCACCACAACAAGAGTGCACCTTCGTCAAGCACCGTCCCGGACCCAGCGTTTCGTCTCAGAACGGAAATTTTCTGCGAGCCTGCGCAGCCAAAACACACGGGCTCAGAGAGGGTACCTTGATCGAACCCGGGCATTTACACCTACCGTAAGAACCCCTCAGTGTGGACACTGTGTTTGGGGAACAAAGACTTCCACTCAAGGCCTGCTGTCTGAACTACAGGTCTATAAGACTATGACTAGGAGCAAATACCTTTAATGAGCAAAGCTCCTTTCCTGAAGACTAAAGAACTGATATTCATGTTGCATTTCGCGCATCCTCGGGACAGGAGCAAATACTCTACACCTTCCGAGCAAAGAATTTGCCAATAAACCTTTCGCGTCTTCCATGCATTTTTGCATTTGCTTTATTTTTATCTGCCTTGAATGCTTTAATAAGGAAATCTTTCCCAACGAGACATGCCATCTTTGCAGTTGATATGGGGCATCTGAAATTTTGGTGAGAATAGTCTCAGAATCACGTTGTCAAATTGTCAAGGTTTTTTCCAAGATTGGGCTTGGGCCTGTTCAGCTCCAAGACTTGTCGTGCACCAGATTTCACCAGCTGGCCCACTGGCTGCTAAGATGCCGTGTCTTGTGATAGCAGTCAGGTCAGCAGCAAATGCACCACTATCGCTGTCAATGATGTGATCGTGGAAGCTGGAGACATTGCGGCCCGACTTCCCTTCCACACCGTACACTCCAAAGTTTATGACCTCTGGAGCTGTTTCTGCATGGTAGGGAAGTGGAATCACTATCTCCAAATTGTCCACGGAAAAGGAAGTCTCGTGTCCAAGCATTGAGAGGTGATTTGAAACCGGATTGGCCTAAAAGACTCCACCAATGCCCATCCCTGCCAAAGCCTGCTGGATTTGGATGGTGTTGAATTTGATGGTCCACCACGCCACATTTGCACCATTGTGGCGATGAGTGGGGATTAGGGTGTCCACCCCAGCATTCCACAAGCGGTTGCAGCGTTCCTGCTCGAACTGCTGCAGGTGCTGTGTGGGGGGGAGCTGGGACGTAGATTGCGACTGGGTAGTGGCAAAGCAGTAAGAACCCAGGCCTGCCCTTGTGAATCTTCAAAGGTGGCAAGGAAGAAGATACCCCACAGCTGCTCACAGTGCGCAGCTCTTGAACCCGCCATGGTCGAAGAACATGTCGACATCCCAGGTTGCCACAGGCTAACCAAATAATGAGATTGTCTCAACAAAAGCAACATTTAAACTTAAACCTAGCTCAAAAACTTTTTTTAATAGCACCCTTCTTCCAACGATCAAACAGTTGCAAAGAGTACCCTTACGAAGACCTAAAACAACCAATTACAAACACCTGCCAACAAATAGATTGCTTATATCAAAAGTTTGCAGTAATGAACTTTGCATACTCCTCTACAATCAAAAAACTGGTTTTCTAGTAGGTTGCAATAATACACTGTCAAATTCCTAAGGTCTGAGGTTTATATATAGTGTATTATTGCGAGTAATGATTACTTTGACAAAAAATATGTGCTGCATATTCTTCACTAGGGGAGGTTTATTATTGTGATTTGATCCAGTGATAATGTATATACTTACAGTATATAATTGTATATATCTCACAATGAAAACACACACATATATATATATATATAGATACATGTCTGTTTACTTCCTCAATGTAGCTTTTTAGGAAAATGCATGCAATAAAAACACAGCACCCATGTCAAAGGTCGAAATACCAATCTTGGCATGGTTGACCTCCTTTAGCATCAGGTCAAGGGAATCCAGTGCTGATGAGACCATTGCAACATCTCCATTGCCCTCTATACCCCATACAATTGTGCCGATCGTGCACGGGGCAATTCAAAGCGACCCTGGTATTCGCTGGCTTCTGCCACGTACCATGATTTGGTGGGGAGGTGCGTTTTGATTGCCATTGAGCTGCCCAAAAGGGAGCGATGGCCTCGGTCGCTCTGATGGTGCATCTGGTACTACACTTGTCACGTCAAGGATCCGTAGATCATTAGAAGAACCCGTTGTTTTCTGGTTTGGGCTGGGTTTCGAGGTGGATCTCTAGGTAAATCTCTTGGTCTTCTGGACCGGGCCGTGTCTGGAAGAGCATGGTAGAGGCCTGGGAAGTGTCCCAGATCCGTGAATTTCTGGCCATTCATCCACTGTGTTACAGAATTTGTCAGATTCGGATTCGGGGTTCACCAAGTCTCCCTAGGGCTCCAAGTACCTTCTAAGAAGGTGTTTGGGGTGGGTTTAGAGGGTCGAGTCCAAATACCTTCTGAGAAGGATGAGGAGGTACTTGGAGCTCTAGGGTCTGCTTGTGAGTTCACATAAATAATCCCGCAGCTGAACTCGTTACTGCCTCCAAAGTCATGGAGAAAAATTATGAGTCACCAAGGGGTGGCCTTTAGAACTTTAGTCTCTATATGTGGATGTGACAGGGGCAGCCCTATCCTCCAAGTTCGCCCCAAGATGGAACTACCTGCAACACTGGAACATGACACTGACCAAACACCGAAGAAAAAAAAGAAGCGTTTGCCGCTGGCCGGGCCTCTCGCTGAGACCCAAATCTTCGAAGCCCATCCTGGCAAGGGTAGGAACCGCCACCGAACCGCCACCATGGTTGGGTCATTCTTCATGGGGCTTCATGTATGTTTCGATGGAGGTGCCTGCAGAACTGTGAGGTACCTTAGTACCTGGACCTGAAAAGTGTGCCAGGAGATACAGTACCGCAGGCGGGTCTCGACCCGGAGAGGCGAGACCGAGAGACCGAACCCCTCTCACCGACTCTGGACATCCACCACGATCATCCGACGCGTCACGCGGAAACGGATTGGCTGGAACGTGGAACGTGGAAAAGAACAACGTATTCGATACATATTCAGATTCACCATGGTTAGGGGATTCATTTAACCATAAGTACCAACATCACCGCAAAGCCAGGCCTATACTTCTCCCACCGAGTCGCTCTGACGAATGACACACTCAGTTCGCCCCCGGTCGTCGCTTTCGGAACCCGCCGTGCCCCGTGTTCGCATGGTTCGTCCCCGAGTGCCCAGGTCGACGGACGCGTCGTTTTCGGGCGCCAGCGGTCGCTTTTGGACGGTGAGTGCCTCGCCCGACCTCGACCGTCGCATGTGGTGGGCCCATCTTCCTTATCACCGCGGTCGGACACCTCTTCCTGATCCAGGGCCCTCTGTTTGGGGTGGTGAATGGACATCCCTTAACCTCTGAGTTCTGATTGGACACCCCTGGCCCGGGGGTCCTGGATCGTTTTTCCCCAAGTAGTGCAGGTTAAGGAAGGGTCGGCCGACCCAATTAAAACCCATAACAGTATATAGTCTATAGATCCCCAAATCAATAGATACAAGTGATACAAGAAAAATCCTTTTTCAACATGTATTGCCAACTGCTTCTATCAATTTGGGGACCACTATAGATGGCACCCTGAAAGGATGACCCTCTTCTGAAGACCAAACAGGTGGCCGAGTTCTCCAGCGGCCGTCCCCGCACCCAAAGGGGCGGCCCGTTTCTGTCGCACCTGTCGCCCGTTTCTCAAGGGGCGCGGCCCATGGCGAGCAGAAAAACCAAACGAAATGGACGCACAACGACTGCAGTTGGACTCACGATGGAAAGGATTGTGAGGATCAACGCGTTTTCATGGCATGTGACACCTAAACGAGAGGGGGCCTGCGCGAGCCCAGATCCAAGAAGGGGCCCTTCCACAATTTGGACCTATAGACTCCTCATGTGAACCTGAAGAATGAAAGCATTGAACCTTGCACAATCGTCAGGTTCGAGCTCCTTCGGCTGTGTTAAGATCGTGCAAAATCAGCAAACATTATACAGATTAAGTCCTTCTATCCTCTTGTTCCTGCGGGAAAACACCGAGCATCATAGCCATGTTCGGGTCGTTAACGAGTGAACCAAAGGCAAACCTTCTGAAGAAAGTGTAGCTATTGATCCAGTTTCCAGGTGATCTTCCATCTGTCAAAGCACGCTCAAAACTTGAATCTACTGTTAATTCCAAAAATCAGCGGCGCATTGTTGAGGGGGCAACCAGAGACGTCTTTTTGACTGAACATCGCGTCGGCCTAGCCATGAGACCAATGGAGCCATTGGGCAGCGAAAATGTCACATGTCACGCAAGCGTGGTGGCCCAGGAAAAAACGGCCAAAAGAGCTCAAACACGTGCATTCTTTGCATGGACAATATCTATCAAGGACAAGGAACATTTTGAATCTACTTGGCGCACCTGACACAAGGACATTGCAGCATACTGCGACTGAACAACATATTCCAAAACAAATAGGGTTGTCATCGTCCAAAATGTCTGAAGTTGTTCTTCCAATAATTGTTGACATGTTGGCAAAAAAAACGGTGAACAAACACGAACAAATTCATCCATCCCAAACACTCCATGGGACTGCCATATATGCTTACATTGGGGTGGTTGAATCGGGGTCAATGTGTCGGCAGTCCTATGGCAGTCCCATGGGTGGCGTCTGGGCATCTTGAATTGAGTGTCCGCCGTGCGGCCGCCTCAAAGTCACAATCCCACGTGCGCACGACGAGTGTTTTGGGAGTGACGGGACACCGTAAAACCTTGGGGCTTGACACGCCGTTGCCCAAAACAAACTCACCCAAAAACCTCAAGATCCAAAGGTGTGTTTTTTGCACAAGGGCCCATGGTGCTATTGAAGGGCCCGTACCAATGGCAGGTGACACATAACGCACACCTCAACTCCAAAAACCGTATCTCATTGAAATTAATGAAGAACGGTATATCTAATGGTTTTAACGGTGCTGAAAATTAAAATTGTCCATCAACTTATCAACACTGCAAAATTCAGTTCTTCCATGTTCTTCCCGATTCCCGTCAACTGCGGAAAGAAAGCACCTAAATATGGCAAAATTCACCAATGTTTTGCGTAATCAGTTTGACCAATCTCAAAGTTTCCGAAGTCCACTGAGGAAGATGCCCTCTGCAAACGGCCCACCTGGATGCAGCGAAAAATGGCCAGGGCTCACAAATAATCAGGGATAAGACTTGCCGGAACCTCAAGTTTATCAACGGTGCCAAAAGAACATATATGCCATATGTGCACAAAACCACACAATACAGCAAGTCGTGAAAATCTCCAGACCGTGCAACGGACAACGCCAACTAGCATCAAAAGCTTGGCACGCTGCTATCGCGAAGATGGAAGTGTGGGTCGGCGACGGGCATGAGTCAGCATGAAGCCCTGCCCCAAGAATTGTCCTCCACAGCGCTTCAAGCACAGCTTTCCGGAGTGGCTGGCAAGCACGGGTATGCTGAATATATTCTATTGGTATAGAGTGGTAACTGCCTGACGAATGGTTCGCCAAAGATGCGCCCCAATGATGCTAAGTACAAGGCAAATGCCCAACTTCATCCAGTTGAAAGAAAAAACCCAATTCTACATAGAGTATGAATCATGCTATCGCTTGTCTTTCCGTCTCAAACTTGCTATAACCAGTTGAACGGCAGCGTGCTCATGATGAAAGGACAGCTTCAGCGTTGCGCTGAGGAGGCGATAAAGCCCGATAGGCTGCACCCCGCTGTGTGTTGGTCGGTTTGGCAATTGGCAGTCAGTAAAAGGGCGTTTGACTGTCCATTGTCCGAAGTGCCGACGTCCAGAACATACATGCAACCCGCTGTCATGTCATTCACCCAACAAGAACACACAATGCAACAATTCAAAAAGCACCAAACCCATTCCAGCTTCCAAACAAGCAAATCCCAGACCTTACGCAAGGATACCCCGGATAGAGGCAGCTGCCTGTGGCAGCTTTCGCAGGTTCCATGCCGACCAATGACGACTCGTTTCACGGCCAAGAAACCAAGGTTGCAGCATGCGGATCGATAACCACCAGGATCGATGACCACATTGAAACCATTTGAAACCGATTGTACTTGTATTGCTCAGTGTTGCCCTTGGGTATTTTAGTTGCTCAGCTTATGCTGTATGATGGTCATATTCGCTGAAAACCTCCACTGATTCGTTTTCTGGGTGATTCTGTGGTTTTGGTTTGGTGTGGGACAGATGCCCATCTCTGGCATCTAGAGAATCTAGTAGAGAATCTAGTCCGCCAGGTTTTGGAAAAAATCCATGTGCGCCTCCTACACGCGATCACTGAGATCCTTTCAGCAGACCGGGACGCGACCGGGAAGACACCGGGTCCGTCCCGGGACAGCGGGCGCAGCGCAGAACGGGACGTGGACCAGGACACAGTGGGGCCGGAGCATCGATCGTCCACCCTTGGGAGCGTCGAAACGAACGACTTCGCGTCTCGGCGGAGCGTCTCGGCTCCGACTTCTCGGCACTGGGAGTGGATGGACCCGTCCATCACCGTGGTAGCTGGGACTCGTCCTCTCTTGGACTCCAGTACGACCGTTAAGCGCAGCGCCTGCATCTGGGACCACTATGATGATGTTCGTGTTGTACGTTGACTATATATTCATACCCCCAGGCATAACATCTAGGATTCATACGTTAAGCATCACCGCTGGGTTCGATCCGCAACACCAGGGCGCTTGTTTTTGGGTGCTTTTTCATGGGCAGTCCTAAGGATCGATCGCTTAGCTTCGCTCGCTCGCTTGGGCGGCCCTTCCGTATACATCCACCGGTCGAAGGTCGGCGTCTGAATCGGTCGAGGAGGGCGGCCGCCACAGGGTGGCATCCTACAGAGGTTAAGTGACCGTAAGTAGGACCCTACAGAGGTACCTATGGGATAGTCTATAAGGTCCTTTAACCTCTGTTGGTAAAGTGTGGTGGAAGTCCACTTCCGCAACATCCGGAGTTGGTGATCTATGGTTCATCCTATTGCAGCAGCTGGACCTGTCGGCGCACTTGCTGCAACTGTCCTCTCTCTCTCTCTCCATGTACATGTATATTATATATGTATATATACAGTGTATATATATACTGTACACAGTATTCAGTTGCATTTGCCTGCATGTGACCCTGAAAGATATTTGCATCAACAAAAACTGGTTGGGCAAGCTCTACTTGGATCCTCCTACACATAATCAACTTGTGGATGATCTGTTTCCCACACTCTCACTGCAGCTTTCTCTGCAAAGGTAATTCACAGTATGTCAACCAGCTGTCAATGGTTGAACAGATTAGACAAAGTCACAAAGATGTCAATTCAATACCCCCTCCGTTTACCTCGAAAATAGAGGTGAACCTTTTTCCACCTCCAACCAATTCCTCAAAAACGTGTTGCCGGTTTTCCACTTTCCGAAAGGGTAGGTCCGCCTTTGCTCAGTGATTTGGGAGGGTTCCATTGGAAGACTCAACTCTGTTCTCGAACTGATCGGCGGCAAAGTAAGGACCCCCCTGGGCCAAGCAAGGAACCCGGAACCCCCTGTCTGTTGTTGCAAACAGAGACACCATCTCAAAACCTGCAAGTCCTGCCAAGAGCACAACAGCAAAGGGAAGCCTTTCTCCTATTTCCTCCATAATCCTTTCTACGATTATATCTAACTATAAATCTAACTACCCTAACCATCATTTAACCATCATAATCATTTGACCTTCCGATGGAGGTTTTCA